GAAGAAATAACTTTAGCATTTTACAGTTGAACATTACAAAGAAAGTCTTAGAGGCTCAAAAATGTTAAACTCACAGGCCTAGACGCCCCAGAAAATCGACGATTATACTCGTTGAGTTGGGTGTCACTCCGAATAGCATCGTCTACATTACTCTCTCGTTCACCTTGTACGACTTTAGGCATTAAAACAGACACCTAAATTAAGAATACTTTATTCCAAAAAATAAAAAAAAAATGACAGCCCCATTTTTGTTATATGTTTGCAAATGATACTAACTTACTTTGGAAAAAATGCAATAACCGACCAAAAAAATTTTATTTAAAACTGTTGATAAATTACAAACCAACCACAGATCTGCAAACAGCACATTTCACAGGTCTCATGATATTGCCGCTATGTTGCCAATAAAGGTAGAAACAGTTGCCTTAAACGTGTAAAAATATAGTTACTGGGAGAATTGCATAAAAAAGTAAATGACTAATAAACAGCTATTGCTCGTTAAAGAATCAAGCAAACTTGCCACATTAGTTAAGGGAATGTTTATACAAACACCTCAAAGCATAGGTACTGTTTTTATAACAAATTTTTAAAAAGTTGAGCAAACCAATAGTACCTAAAAAAGCCGTGCAGAAGAGAATCAATTAACAGAACATTTCAGTAAAAACACGAAAAAAATAAAAAGAAAAAACTTACAACAAAACAAATGACCGCAATTTGTTAGAACTGCAAATAAAGCAGGTCCAAGACAAATTGGACAAATTCGATCAGGATCAGTGAAAGAAGGAGTTTCCTGAAATCAAAATTAGAACAAATCTTTCCCTTATCCCAGATTCTGTAAAAAAAAATTGTTAATTTCCAATTATCCAATCCTCAGAGATTCTGTTTATCTTTAAATGAAATAAAATGTATAATGTACCGTTTCAAACGATCCAGAAGTTGGTAGTAAAAAAAACAATAACTCTCAAAAATTAAATTCCTGTTACAATTCATCACATACTCTACACTGCTTAACTGACCTCATTTTCTAAAGGAGGAGCAGAAGGCTCATTATGTAACCGTTCTTGACGAACACCATTCACTGTTGAGATAAAAGAAGGGTGAATCTGAGCTTGCCGTCTCCTACAATTCAACGTGCATTTTACTTAGGATTTCAAATTATATTAATTAAAAAAGCTCATATTAATTAAAAACTAAATAATAAATTGAAAACTATAACTGTACTGAAAAATGAGAGAAAATTATACAGTTACTTACCGAGGCCATTTAAGGAACGCCATCAAAATTAGTATTATTAGACCAGCAAGCACTAATGAGAAAGTAGCAGCATCATCGAATCCTTAACCATACTGATCAATACATCAATATGCTCGAAAACAACCAAAACCCAATGAGGGAAAGAACGAGTCTGTCATAAATACAAAATTTTGCGCTCTATTAAATTTGTAAAAAAATGTTTTTATTTTTCATAAGAAGAACGATAAACCAGCTCATTAACAATATTAGACAAAAAAGAAAAAAATTCAGACTCTTCATCAGCCGTTAGAACCCATCTAACAGTAAGCATACAAATATAATGTACTTCACAAGAACAAAATCATCAATTAAATGAGAAAGAATTACCTTCCACAATAGGTTCCGACAAAAGTAGGTTGTCATCCATTCAAATAAAACAAAAATACACCTGTATTAGGCGCACTACTCTATGATCTAGCCCTGACTAATATGCTGACAATGCTGACAAGTGATGCAAGTTCACAACTTTACTGAAATATTTGGAAAAGAAAAAAAGAAACTTCTAAATGACAGGTACTTCATATTGATTAGCGATAACGAAGTGGAGAAGAAATGTTTGGCAAAACAACCAGCAACCAGAATTAGAAGCATTTAAAAAAAAAAAAAAACAAATAACTGCCAAAAATATCTGGTTTATATCATAAAATAAAACTAAACTAGCGTCAACAAACTCAGTGGTAAAGAAAAAGAAAAAGAAGAAATAAAAAGAGAGAACAGTTGTGCAAAATTTTTACGCTTAATCAACAACAAAAACAACAACAAAAAAGCCATTTATGTCTTGATAAAGATAATTATCAAATTTAAGTCATAAACAAGCGAAAAGAAATAAAAACGAAAAAAGCAAACGGATCATATTGCAAGCAATGTTTTTTGACGGTCTTGTTAACTTTTTCATCAATTTATCTAACAGTAATAATGCAATATTAACAAACAAAAAAAAGGCATTTAAAAAAATTAATTAAATTTAATATAAACAAAAACAAAAACAAACATAATAATAATAATAATAATAATAATAATAATAATAATGGTATTAGTTATTGGTATTACTGTTATTATAATATCATTGATAATAATAATAATAATAATAATAATAATAATAATAATAATGGAAGAGAGGAAGAAATTTTAGCAAGAAGCAGTCAGCAAAATGATCCGATACCTGACGCAGTTGCATAACTGGCAACTGACAGCCGAGCATCAAAGAATTCCGTAAAATGTAATCGAGCCAATTTCAGCGTGTAAATGGCAACTGACCAAATTGTTCGCTGCAGGAGCTATCGCCAACTAACTTCACTGAATAACTGCACAGCAGCGATTTACCTGATTTCGGCTGCTGTCCACCATACACTATGACGGTGTTATGGAGCTGTAATTGTTGGTGAACTACTCAATTTACTGATTTTCTATCTGTGCAGTACAGCGGTTGGCGAACAGACCAAAACTGCGACGACGACGACGACATCGACGACGGACCAAAACAATTGTCAAATTCTTTTTAATTGCCGTTATTTTTGTTTCAAAAATTAAGTTAACTTCGTAACATATTTGTCATTTATAACTGGTATTCCAATGGGCAGAACAATATTCTTGAATTTTGATTTTCTGATTTACTGGTAATGAATAGGTTGTTTGATACACTGTAAACTTGAAGTTTCCAGTTGGACTTTCATTCAGAAAGTTTGATGATCAATGACTGAAAAAAAGATTTTTGACTTAATATCGTATATTGATGACACACTGATAAAGATTGTAACATTTTTGATTTTTTTTTTTTCAACCACTAAATTTCTATCTTACTGCAGTTGTTTAAATCAAAGTCTGCTTCAAATGGCTGCATGACATCTGAGCAATCTTTACTGCTAAACAATTAGTCGAAAGACAAAC